CCCGGGTGCCTGCCCATGGCTTGTAGCACCGCGTCCCGAGGAAGGGGCACATGCTCCCCAGCTGGGCGGGGACAACAGCCTGATTCCAAAACCAGATGAAACGCTCAATAAGTAGCTGCCGAGCACGACATATGCATGTCCAGGAGCCCACGGTCTATAGGGCCTTATCTCCCCTTACTTGCCTAGGGCTTTTCTTGGAGCTTCTGGTTTCTGTGAGTTACCCACCAGATGATCATGCAGTAACCAGAAGTGACCACAGTCGCTACCATGAGTGCACATAAAGATAGTCTCTATATATTTCCAAACACGGTTTACCTCTCAGTCACTCAGCCATTCAAGAATTTCTCTTAACTACCCTGTGCACTGCACTCTGCTAAGAGTCGTAGGAAGTGATGGTACAGCCAGGCTTCCGTGAGGAAACCCACATCACGAGCAGCCCAGGCCTGAGGCTGACTGTGGGGCCAGGTTCCCTCCCAAGAGAGGGAGGGGCTTAGACAGAGACAGTATTGGAAATGGGTCGTGAATGGTTTTACAGAGATGGCCAAGGCCCAGCCCATGTTTTGCAAACAAGGTCAATTTCACATCCCTGAATTCTGTACCAACCGTCTTCTCAATTCGCAGTGGGAATGCTCCAGGAAGACCCCTGTGGCCATGACTTCACTGTCTTGCTATGCTGGGGTTTGCCTACAATGCTTTAGAGAAACCCTCCAAGGCCACAGCCCTTATGGGCTCATGGTTTGGAATCACACCTGCAATCACTATTACCCTAAAGGGCCTCCAGAGCCCACAGAAATGCTGTTCTCAGACACTGAAGATCTGGACAGTGTAGCTTGGCCACGAGAGCCTCGAGACAGCCCTCACCAAGGGCCTGAGCACCCATAGGAACCTGCTCCAACTTCCACTAACACCCTGACCGGGCCCAGACCTGCACAGTTACCAGAATCACAAGAGAAAGAAAGCTATCCAAATTCTGCAGAAATTCCCTAATCAGGCTGTGACAGGATTTGTGTTTGAAGAAAGGTAGGACAAGGATGTACTTGCTACCATTGTACAGGCTTATTTAATCTTTTTCCAAATTAGGATAAACTCTGGAAAATTCAGATAACGTATAAAATGCAACAGGGGTTTTATCAGACCTTTCGAAGCTAACATTTATGCATGGCATAAAAGTTACTGATATTACTAAAATCAATATTGTAGCCAAAAAACCTGAAAACAGCAATGTCTGAAATAAACTGATTTGGACATGCAGCTATTTCTAATCATCTTAACAGAGCAGGCTCCAAGAAAAACTGTTCATGAAACCTATTTTGCCCCTTAGAAAATCGACTTCAAGATCTCAATTCAAAAAAGCAAAGTTACATGTACAGGAATTAATTCAACAAATATGCTGTTAATGTATATTTCTGCCTTTCCAAAACTTGTTTCTTTTCAAGTCTAAAATCCTCGTATAACTTTGCCTCTTTGCAGGCAAATTTGGAGATTATTCTGGGTGTAAGTAGCTGAAGACAGTAAAATCTCAAAAGGTGAAACTTCCCATGAGCCTGTTCTAAAAGAAAAAAGGAATGTTCACACTCACACAGAGGAAACCCCTAGAGACTGGTGCATATTGCCTGTAACAGCTGCTTGACTGAATGAAAGAATAACAATCACCTATACTTCAGTTCCTTTAAGTCAATAGGAAGGTCTCTAAAAGCCACCATCTGAAAACCACCATTTAGAAATAATCAAATGTCATTAGCGTCTTCTAACAGACACAGTCCTTCCTTTCCCCAGACATAGGGCACTGCTCCACGCCGCCTTGGAGCCCACCCCTACCTGCACTCAGCCATGGAATGAAGTCACCTGTGGAAGTTGTTTATTATCATCAACATCGTCATTCAGTAGAGAGAAGCAAGATGGGGAAAAAACCCCACTCCTTTCTGAAGAGGTTACATGGCCTTGATTTGATGCTAGAAGAGATGGCTTAAAATTCTGGTATCTTATGGCAGGGGGAGGGGAGTTTTTGCAATTCACCTACGATTTCTGTGCTAGTTTCCCAAACTTTAAGCACAGATGCATCATTCGGTTAAACGCTGAAATAACTCTAAACTTTAAAACTACGAAGTGCTATCAAATACTCATTAGTTTCACAGACATTACAAGTACAATGTCTTCAACTGCAGCAAGAGTTCAGTGTCATTCTTTGAGCTTCCATGGCCTAGCACAGGGCTCTGCACAGAAGGGGGGCCACGAACACTGACTACATAGACCCCGAAAGAGAAACGATCCCAGAACACCTGAGTCCTTGGGAACAGACCAGCACAGTGCACTCTTTACTATCAAGCTCCTTTCAACACTGGGACAGAACTGGAGAGCAGAGATCCTGCATCACAGGAAAGGGGGAAATGGACGTGCATGATAAATTCTCCACACTAACCTGTGCAGACAATTAAAAGTACAGCATCTCAGTTGCGTAGTCCGAGATCCTGTTGACGTCCACCTGCGTTTGCTGGAGTGGCCTCATGGACACCAAATGAAAGGCATTCATGGGGCAGGAAGTCTGGTCACTCCATGTCACTGGCAAAACAGTGAGCATTTCATTTCTGCTGTGGCTTCCAGCTGCCCGAGAGCACCACTTAATGAGATCGCATGGAAACATATCACAAGGGACCAGGAAACATATTTTGATGTGGAACCAAAACAGTGGGAAAGGTTAACTTCAAACCCCTGAGGATAGTTAGGCATATTTCATGAGTTTTGTTTGTTTGTATTAACTCACAGGAATGTTATGGCATCACACCTACCTAGGGGAGCCCTGCAACCAAGAGATAAAGATAACAGAGCCATTTGGCCACATAAGTATTGCTAAAACTCCCAAGCAAAGGAAAAAAATGAACACTCTCTGCTTTCCAGTAACGAGTCAACTGCAGGTCTGATGTGGCAGAGAGTGGGCCTACCAGCAACACTGGGGATCCTGAGGATACCCCACTGCTAAATAAACAGAGCAGACATCAGGGAATGGACTCCATTTCTAAAGGTATCCTACCATTTCCACTGAGATAGTAGGACAAGCTGTTGGGAGCTGAACTGTGTCCTCCTCTCCAAAAAATTCACACATTGAGGTCTTAACCCTGGGACCTCAGCATGTGACTGTATTTGGAGACAGGGCCTTTACAGAGGTAATCAAGTTAAAACAAAGTCATGCGGGAGAGGGCTAATCCAATATGACTGGTGCCATTATAATGAGGGGTCATATGGACACAGAGACACGCACAGAAGGAAGAGGTTGTTAAGACACCGGGAGGGGACGGCCATCTGCAGGAGAGAGGCCTGAGCAGACGCCCCCAGTCTCAGAAGAAGGCAGCCCCGCCCACACCGTGATCCGGGACTTCCAGCCTCCAGAGCCCAGAGAAGTAAATTCCCGTTGAAGCCACCCTGTCGGCGGGGCCTTGTTATGGCAGCACCGGGAAACTAATGCACGGGGTTTGCCTAAATTTTGTATCTTCTACAGCTCCAGTGTATCTTGAGGACCTTCCTCTTCCCTTATCTCAGAGTTCAATTAAGCTCCACTGTGAGTGACAGAGACCTTTGCTGTTCACGAAAATGCAGAAAATCATGAAGCAGACCACGTGTGTGACGGCGTGCTCGAAGAGAGTCAGCTTTGAGATTTTCTTATTGTTACTTAAATAAAAACTATAATGATAGCACAGTAGGCAGAAACAGCTCTTAATTTTTTTTAATGCCTCCAAATTTTTTTTTTTTAATTTCCATGTTTATGAATTACATCCGGGATCTGAGAGACACTCGTTGTGATGATAACTTTGAACACGCCAGCCTTTTAAGCCTTTTACTGAAAGTAGAAGTCGGGATGGAAAGAAAGGTAAACGCGCCTAACGCGAGTCAGGAACATCGGCCAGTCCTTGCTTCCTCTCGAAATCTTAACTGACTACCATATTCACCATCTGATTGCTTAAAAAACTGTCAACGCTCATATTGCTTCTTCGCTGCAAACTTTCACTAAGGCTTAGCTGGGTTCATTCAGAGCTGGAGCTAAATTATCCAGTAGCAGCTCTAACCCTACACTTCCAGGCCCCCTTGGTGGTGGCACAAGGAAGGGTGTGGGAAGAAGCGCAGGGATGATTTCCCCGAGGAACAGCCTCACCAATTCACTGTCTTCATCTTGCGGGCACACATGGCTGAAAACCCGTCTGTCCCGCACCACTGCCACCCCGACTTCCTGCAGAATGCTCTCTCATGAAAAAGGGAATAGGAATAGAAAACATGGAAAAACACCAAAACAACGAGCCAGCATGCCCCGGACTGCAGACAGAGGTCTGTCACGTTGCAAATGCCTCTTCCTGAGGACGTGGACACGTCCTGATGTCAAATGCTACCCTTGATGGCCTCAGATAAAAATCCTGGTGCAAAAACCACCCTGCCAGGGGCCATTAGTGGCTCACCTGTTGGGAAAGCTGTTTAGTTAAAAATAAAAACACTGGGCTGGTTAAGAGGCCCCAGCGGAGTGTGAGCAGTCCCTCTCACCGCTGAAAAGAAAAACTAACAACCCAAGACCCGGTGTCTCGAGCGCACTTCAGCTCCCCGTCACCAGCCTGCCAGCGAGCGAGAGCCATTCTCTGGGGAGCAGGAGGCTGCGCTGTTCCCGCACGCGGGCGAGCCGGCTGCTCTGGGGGGCTGTTGAGCGGAGGGGCCCATCTGCGCCCGGCGCGGTGACAGCTATAGACAGAAGGAGGCACGCCGGCAGGAGGGCGCGGCTCGGGCAGGCTTGCTTTTATCAAAAAGGAACAAACCTTGTTGTGGGCAGAATTGTATCCCCCAGAATTCACAGGTTGAAGCCTGAACCCTCAGAATGTGACCTCAAGATGGTCAAGTTAAGATGCGGCCATCAGGGGTGAAACCTGTCCCCATAAAAGGAGAATGTGAAGAGAGACAGACGCACACAGGGAGAACGCACCGTTGGAGCCCCAGGGCTTCCCACCCTCACCGGGGCCCAGGCTCACCTCATGTAGGACGTGGGGGACAGGGACTTGGGCTTGGCCCACTGGTATGGAGGCTGCGGCACAGACAGGTACTGGTCGCAGAAGGCGCCCTTCCTGATGTGCTGGAAGGTGGAGAACTCCTCAGGGGGGAAGTCGGACGTGGGTGGGCTGGCGCCCAGGTCCTCCGCGGCCGGCTCCACCTTGAGTGCCACCGAGGGCGAAGGCTCCAGGGCGGTCCTGCGGGCCTTCACGGGCACACCCTCGCCCAGGTCCAGGCTGCTGTCGGTGGTCAGGGCGTTGATGGCTGCCACGATGGCTGAGCTGGTGTACTGCGTGGTGTTGCCCAGCCACGTGTCGTCGGTCACGCTGACCCGCGGGGACCCGTGCGGGGATGGCGTGGGTGAGTGGTGGGGGGAGTGGGAGGGCTGCCGGCCATTGAGGCTATACTTCCTCTTGTTGCAGGGGGATGCGGGCCTGGAGCCGCGGGCCCCCAGCCAGCTCTCCTCGGTGACACTGGTGCGTGGCGAGGTGGACGGGGAGTGCCGCGGTGAGCCCAGAAGACCGCAGGCCCCCAGGCTGCGGGGAAAGCCTTCCTCGGGGTCCGTGGTCTTGGGGGACACGCAGGGAGACTGCCATGGGGACGTCTGGGGGGATGCATATGGGTACGAGTAGTTGGACTCGTAGGACGAGGCCTCGGAGTTGCAGCTGCGGGAGGACAGGCTGCTGGCCGGGCTCAGGCACGAGGGGTCGCGGTAGGCCTCCAGGCTGGGCAGGTGCAGCGTGGCTGTGGAGGGGGACCGTTTGGAGTTGGGCAGGACGTCCTCCACCTCCACATCGTGGAAGAACGGGCTGCTGTTGTGGTGCAGACCCAGGTACGACGTGATCTCGATGCGTGGGCTCTCCAGGGCTGGGCCTCCATTAGGCCGGATGCTGCCGGCAGAGAGGAAGTACCCCGAGGGCCCACCATCCACAGTGCCCGCGTACCCTGAGGGCTGCCCCGCAGCCGGGATGGCTGAGAGGCCTGGGGTGGACGGCTGAAGGTCCTGGCACTGGGCCGGCAGCGAGGGGTGCGTGGTGGGGAGTGGCAGACCAGAGCTGAGCGTGGAGGAGGCATAACCGTAGTGTTCTAGACGGGAAGAGAGAGGAGATGGCATGAGGACCGGTCACCACAAGGCACAAGCCCATGAGCTCAGTGACCCTGAGAGCCTGGGACCTCGTCCTCCTCCAGCCCCAGAAATGCCCCTCAGATCGGGCTGCTCCAAATGCCTCAGTGACAGCCCAAGCCCCACCCCCTAACAAGGTCCCGTGACCCCAGCCTGGCCACTCCATCCTCCCCTCTCCCGCCACTGGACGGCCCTCCTGATGCTCCCCTCCCTGCAGCGAGCCCCAAGCTGCCCTGTTCCTCACTCAGAGACGGCGTCCCCGCCGCCAGTCCTAACTCCAGCCCCTGACCCAGCGCTCGGGCCACCTGTCTCCAGTTTACTTCCCCTGAACGTGTGTCACAAGCTAATGTGTATTTTTACGCATTCATCCTTCTGTGGATGACAGGAGAAACCAAGCCCCGTGAGGGCGGGAGCTTTGACCTGGCTTAGTCTATTTTGAGTCACTGCTGTCCTCAGAGCCTAGGACGATGTCTGGCACATAAAAGGGGTTCAATTTGTTTAATGGATGGATGAAGGAGGGAGGGAGAGAGGGATGTTTTAGATACAGGGACCTAGACATTTAAATAGGTTTCAATAGGCTGATCATTATCAAGGTGCCCTAATCACCAGCTGCAAAGAAAACACCGCAAGGATTGGGTGAAAACAGATTCTGGGGTCCCCTTGTGGAGGTTCTGATGCTGGCTCCTGGCCTAGGACTCCGTCTTTTAGAACAAAACACAACAGATGATTCTGACACACAGCTAGATTTAAGAATCATTATGTGTTAATTATACTTTAATGAAATATTTTTAAAATCGTTATTAGTGTAATTAGTAATTTTAACAGGAAAGCCGTGCTTCTGGATTTCTGACTTGAAAGGACTTTTCATAACATCATGGCACCTCATTTTTATATGCCCGAAGACGAGTGCTCTGAGGTCTCTAAATAATGGAAACAGCACATGGAAACTCTATCTCCATCCCCTGGTCTGAGTGCGCTCACTCGAAGGTATTTTATTCAAGGACGGTGCTGCCTTCTGCCACATCCCTGTTCAGAAACCAGAAAACCACAGCTCTCAGAGCACCAACTCGAACCCCATTGTACTGACTAACAGAAACGGACGGGTCTAGCGCCCCAAGTAGATAGGAATCTATTTTCATTATTACTTATTTCCACACGTAGCCGTCCAACCACCCTCTCTGGCAACCCAGCTTTTATAATCCTTGCTGTCAAGAAGTTCTGACTTTTATCAGCCCAAAATCTCCTGACAAAACTCCGCTCATCGTTGGCCTTTCTTCCTGAAGGTGGGTGCAGGTCCCTTCTCCACAGCCTGGCGAGGGGACACGTGGCACTCATCCACCCCAAGGGTCCCTGGCTGCCAGCTGGAAACTCCAGACACTCTGGCATGGGGGTGGCAGAAGCAGTCGGTGGTGGAATCGAGTCCCGCTCGGATGTCTGTGTGGGGAGAGGCCCCTCTCTCCAAGGCTGGGAAGCTGGTGGACGCTGCCCACCATGCCCGAGTCCCACCTTCCGATCCTAACGCCCCCCTCAGGAAGACAGGGGCAGCCTTCTCCCAAATGCCCCACAGAGAACACAGGTGGCCAGTGACACTGAAGAGGCCTTCCTTTCCTTTCTAGAGCCTCATCCCAATCCCAACGCCAGCACAGAGAAGCCAACCCTGGGACTGACGGGTTCATGCCACCAGCACCCACTGCATAGCCCAAATGACATGCCCACTGGACACGCTGAGCAAAACTAGTGTTAACAATTAGATTGATCACCCCTACTTCCTGGAGGAAATGGCAAAGCTTCCGGGGAAGGGGGCAGCCACCGGGCTGGCCAGTGGCTTCTGGGGGGGTCAGGCCAGGCTGCCCGAGGCCCCTCCAAGAGCCCTGCCCGAGTGCTGCGGAGACCCCTCAGGGAGGCCCTTGCCCAGTCCCTGGCTCCCGGCTGCTGTTGTGACCACTGGACGACAGGCCCCACATGGGTCCCTCTGCACCAGTCCTCTCCACACAGCACAGACAGGCCAGTCCTGCCCTCCACCAAGGGCACCGGGAGAACCCCAGAGAGATGGCACAGGTGGGTACCAGGAGGTGAGGAGGACAGCCCCAGGGCTTCCAGGAAGTGCAGGGCCCAGTCCAGAGCAGGCGGGTGCCAGACAAGCTCGGGGCCCAGCCACACGAGGAAGGAATGGCAGGGTGGAAAGCCAGAGCCCAGGGACACCACGGGGCCAAACATTGCTAAGCAGGTGACCTTGGCTCCTCTGTAAAGCCCCTCCAAGAGGTGGGCAGGGGGCCAGACCCCAATGGGGGGCTCAGATTCCTCTTCTCTACTCTGTATTTTCACGGAGTTGTCCAAGAGATACACCTTGGCAAAAAATGTTTCTTTGTAGCCACCTACACATCACTATACTATTACACAATCTAACATACGCAAGGGTTCATGGAAAAATAGAATTAAAAGATAACACAAGTTGGGCCGAGCCCATGGCGCACTCGTGAGAGTGCAGCGCTGGGAGCGCAGCGACGCTCCCGCCACGGGTTCGGATCCTATATAGGACTGGCCGGTGCGTGCGCTCACTGGTTGAGCACGGTGTGGGTGACACCACACCAAGGGGTTGCGTTCCCCTTACCGGTCACGAAAAAGACAAAAAAAAAAAAATAACACAAGTCTCTCCACGCGCTTTCTGAAGTGCCCCCATACGCACATACATATGTGACTACTCAGAACTTCTACTTAAAGACCCTGAGGTGTCAGCAGTGTCCATCTGTCTCTGGGTAAGAAGTCAGATGTCAACCACTTTAACCAAAAGCAGGGATGGAAGGGTTGGGGACATATAAAATATATTATTACAGTGATAACTTTTAAATAATCAATAAGTAGTATATTAATAATGGGAGTGTCAGATCATACTATGTATTTATAGGGCAGGTTTTTACTATGGTTGGTATATCCCAAAGTTAATTACAAGTTAAATAAACACTTGCCTCTCTTCATTCCCAGTGTTTTCTTTCACTACTGAACACAGCATTTCTGCTTCCCGGGTCTCCGTGATGCACTACGTCGTCTGAAACACGCATTGCGTTAGGAGGCTTCTCTAACAACTGCCATCGTCCTCCCCACCCCCCAGCTCTTTCTGGGCCTCAGCTGTACACAATTCTGGGTCTTCAGATGTCCCCTCCTGGCACCCCTCCCCCATACCTGGGTGCCCACCTGTGCCAGTCACACCTGCCCAAGCTCAACACCCGAAGGCCCACAAGCAAGTCCTGAGGTGCCACCTGCTACAGCCTTTGCTCTCCAGTTTCTGGAGAGCCAGAGAGCTTTGTCTTCTCTGGCAGGTGAAGCTTTGTCCCTGAGGTCTGAGGCTGCCCCCCCAAGAGTCCCATGTCCTCCTCTGGGCATGCGTCCTCAAGGTGGCCACACCCTGATGACAGTGACAATTGCCTCTGACCCTTCCCCAGATGGAAGAGGCCTCTCCAGGCCCCAGTCCTTCCATGGCGGGAAGCAAATACACGGGAGCACTTCTGAAAGTCCATAGAAAAATTGAATCAAAAGATAATAGGAGCCTTTCATGAACTTTTTGAAAACCCCTTGAACTTAGGAATTCACTCCCACGGCTGCTGCTCTCATTTGTCTCCAATCCTTTTCTCTGTGTGAAGCATTTGGATAAACTAACATTCAATTAAGAATGAATTTTCAGGGCCGGCCCGGTGGCGCACTGGATAGTGCGCCGCTTGGGAAGCGCGGCGGCGCTCCCGCTCGAGGGTTCGGATCCCACATGCAGACCGGTTCCGCTCACTGGCTGAGCGAGGCGTGGGAGCAACGCCAAGGGTTGCGATCCCGTTGCCGGTCCCCGGTCCGGTACGGGGGCAACACTGAGGGTTGCGATCCATTGCTGGACACGGGAAAAGACAAAAAAAAAAAAAAAAGAATGAATTTTCATTTTAAATGAAATCATCAGCTCCAGAACACTAGAAATCACTGGGCCTGAGCATAATGGGAAACACTGCACGTGGCAGCGAGTGCGACTGTCCACCACCGGCCCTGCCCACAGTGACCCGCAGTGACCGCCCGTGCAGCCCTTCCACCCCCAGGCCTTCCTTCAGCGGTGCAGACCTCGGGGGCTGGGTGTGGTGGATTCGTGCACAGATCCCTACACGTCCCAAGTCCAATGAAGAGAGTTCTTCTCAGCTGACCCCATAGCTGAGCCACCATGTACTGATAGGAAGGTAATTCTAGAATTATCAGAAAATCCGAGCAATCAGCTGATCAAGTCCCAGGGCCTCCCCACCAGCGTCTCCAGCTGCAGCCCCTGTTCCTGCGCCCCTTAGCCAGAGCCAGGCTCGAGCTGCACAGGGTGGCAGAGGCGTCCGGTGGAAGCCCTGGACAGTTCTAGATGAAATGGGGGGCAGCGAAGGGAGCGGGGCTGGGGCTGTGGTGGGAACGGGGCGCTGCGGGGGGCCCGGGTGGGGACGGGAAACAGGAAGAGGAGGCGCCTCCGTAGGCCCGGCCAAAGGGGAAGCCGGCCTGACTCTCACGGAGGCTTCAGCCAGACGCCGCAGAGAAGCAGCCGGCCAGGGAGCCTTTATCAAAAACAAGAGCCACCGCAGCATGACTTTTTTAAATTAAACAAATTACCAAATGAAACCTTAAATGCCTAAACTGCCTGACGAACCCTCGGCCAAAGAGCCCTCGCAAGACTGATGGGTCGATGACAAAGCGCAGCTCTCTGCGCCTCCCTTTGAGGACAGCAAGGACAGCGAGGTCAGTTGTCCCCTGCCCTCCCAGGCTGAGCCCCAAGCCCACCGTTGCTGGGGGCATCTTTCCCCTCCTCCCAGCTCTTATCAGCCACCTAAACCGAATTCACACCTGAATTATTTAACTATTCAAAGGGATTACGCTCACATGGAATGAAAATATTTCCAGTACTTTCTTAACAGTTCTGAGACGTTCAGGCTGATTTCTGTCACGTCAGACGCCCCTGAAGAGCTCAACACCCATTAGAGTCACTTGCTGCTGGTGCCGAAGGAAGCTGGCTGTTTGCCAAGGAGGTTCGTTAAGTGAGCGCAGGCGAGCACAGCACTGTTTTGAGCCAGGACTGTGGCGAGTGTGTTCAGAGGTACTCGACGCAATAAAACGTGCTGGCAGCGCGCCACCTCTGAAGGCACGGCCTTCCCTCTGGCTGCTGTGACTCCCACGTGCTAGATCACCCCGCAGTCACCCCACCATGCACAGAACACCCGCCAGGTGGCCTGGGGGTGCTGGGATGAGCCCCCCACATGGGGAGCCGCGTGGGCAGGCTGGGAGGAGGCACCCCGCAAGCCGGGGCTGTCACAGTGCCCTGCCTCGTTCTCAGGACGCCCTCAGTTTCTCCCCTTCTGAAGGACCAAGAGAGTGCATCGGCCAAACTGCAGGCGGACGTCACCCGGGCCACTGGGACCACTCCCCACTGTCCTGTGGGCCCCATGCTTCCTCAGCCTGAGGCACACTTTGCATGTGACACTCTTGCTGAACACTCGCGCCTTGCACCGGGTGAGGACGGGAGGCGACTGCCGGGCTGCGCCAGCAGACCTCCTCTAACAGGCATCACCATGGCTGAGAGGTGGCCCATCGCAGACGGCTTCTATTTTCATTTTAAGGACCATCCCATTTAGCTAGAAATAGAACTGGACCAGGTCGGGCCGCGGGGACGTCCTTCACACACTGCCGGACCTTGCTGCACGTGGCGACAGAGGCCATTAGGGTAGGGGCGAGACGATAACTTGGCATGCACTGGAATAACACAAAACTAAACAAAGCAGTAAGTGCCACGGCCTCTCTGCTGGAAGCTGCATACAGAGTGGGCCAGGAAAGCGCTCCTAGCAGGACGCACAAGGACTTGGTTGGACGGCCCATCATGACAGACAGCGACAGCTTCTGAGACACTGCTCACTCAACAATCTGCCAGCCAGAAAGATTTACAAAGGCAACTAGAACGATCTCATTCCGGCAGCAAACAAACAAGACCTGATATGCTGTAAACAAGCACACCGAAGCCTTTTTAAGGGCTCTTTGTCCAGCCCAGGCCCACCCCAGCTCCTCATCCCTCGAGGAGGCACTGGGACGCTCCCCAGGTCAAAACGTCATGTGAGAGCATCACTGCTGCATTCTGTTTTCAAGGAATTAAAAAATGTCCAAGTTGTTTATTACTAGCTGTGGTCTTCCTCTGAAAAACACAGTATAAAATTAAAATATCTTCATCATGCGGAAAACTCTGTGCTCGATCACACCTCCAGGACTTGAGGGCAATGAGGCTGTGTGCAGGACAGACTGGCACACTTCTCCTAAAATGCTGAACTTTAACCGTCCCACGTTCCAAACCCGGTGCTTTCCTGAGACTGCCCTGCTGGGAGCTGCAGCCTGTGAACTGGGCTGTCTCGCTGCAGCCATGACTGGCCACGGGCTCCGGGGCCTCCTGCAGGAGGTGATGTCATTGCTCTTTGGTGAAGATGGACTTCAGAAAAAAAGTGTTCCCAAATCTTTGTCTCTGCGGAAGTCTCCTCTCCACATGTGAGCCCTGAAATGCCACCAGCCATGCCCAGTGGCCAGTGGGCCGGCCTGCCCACACAGAGGTTTGGAAGGCGGCCCTGGCCACTGGGGAGGCTCCAGCCCACGACCCAGAAGCCTGGGCGAATTTCTTCCCAAGTTGCCACAGTGACAGCGCTGGCAGCACTCAGGCTGGCCAAAATCACTTAGAAAACAGGAGCCCTGGGGCGGGGAGCAGGGCTCACCTCCCAGCTGACAGGCAAAGCGGTTATTTCCTGAGCCCCAGTAGGGAGAGTCTCCTGTCCTCTCCACGAAGCCCATGGCCTTGTCTTCTCCCTGGGAGGGAACTCAGGGCCCAGCAGGCTGAGTGGAAACAGGAAGATGCCAGGCACTAGGAACTCAGACATCACTCCTGTCCTGCCTAGGGCAAATCAGTTTAAAAATTCTCTTTTCATTCTCTCAACAAATGGTTATTGAATATCTATTATTTGCACCTGCCGAAGACTTTGGAAATAAAGGACCACAAGACTTTCCTTCCCTCAAAGAGCCTCATGAAGACCCGAGACCTGTGCGTGCAGTGAGTCTAGCAAGAAACGCAGGTGGCAGGAGCCACCAGGGAGTGGACCAAGCACTTCCCCACCCATGACCACCCTACTGCTGCTGCTGACCATGCTGGGCGCTCCCCTGGCCCCGCTGGGTGCAGCACCCCCTCCAGGGAGGATTCTATCCACAAGCTGCCTCTGTGCTCAGGGCTGGCCATGTCCTTTCTGACAATATGTGAATTTTTGTGCTCAGTATAATCTATAAACTCAGTATTACCTTACCTTGCAATCAGTCTCAGAATTATTCAATCATTTATTTATATTCGGGCTCATCCCAGAAATAATGTGAAGCACTTTATATCACCCATTAAGGGCTAGAGAATTTAATGTCATAATTTACTGTAACAATGTACAGTAAATAATATAACTGAATAATCAAATGTAACTTAATAATGAAAAATGATAATAAAAAGGAGCAAAAAGCATGGTGTCTCTCACAAAGAAACATAGTATGTACAATATGTTCGTGTATATTATACATGTAAAGAATGTTTTCTAGCAACTTCTTTCTGACACCGTAAAGGGGAGGGGCTTCTGCCCAGCCCAGGTGCCAGCAACCGGGGCTTCAGCCCCACTGTGACCTCCTGGGGTGAGGGCACACCCTTAGCAGAGATGCTTCAAGAGCGCCCTGAGAAGCTCCTCTGCCCAGCTCCATGGGCCTGTCCTGGGCTCTGGAGAGCGGAGGGTCCAGCAAGGATGAGCTTCACCAACCTCCCTCGCTCTGGTTTAGATCAGCACCATCAAGGAGCATTGCAGAGGCACGTGGCTGGTGTGTTTGAGGGAGCACTGTCCTGAACCCACCTGTGACCCAAAGCTCAGGAGGACACCCACTTCCCAGGCCAGGGGGACCCTGAGCTCACCAGAGAACCCACATCTGATGCTGACAGCAACCTGCCCCCCTCCGAGCAGGGTGTAGACTGCAGCTTACTAATGAAACCAGTCCTCAAGGGGCAGTCACCCAAACTGACCTCCTGTGCCTCTTCCCCGGATGAGCCTCTGCAGAGTCTAATTGCCTAGAATTATGTGTCCTAAAAAAATCACAGAAAGATGCTGGTGAAAGCCGTTCAGCACAGCCACTGCCTTGCACACGTGTGCGCGCGGAGCCACAGAGGCGGTGCATCTTGCCGAGTGGCCCCCAGAGTGCGGGCCCTGCGTGCTGGTCTGCTGCACCTCTCGCTGGGCTCCCAGACAGTTGTCCATGCTGAGCAAACAGGCAAGCGTCCCCACGGAGGTAGTGAGGCCTGCCCAACCTGTGCCCCATGGCCTCCACACAAGGCTCCACCCCTAGAGACACAGCATTGGGCAAGGGGCCACCAGAGGTGGACCACGACTCACAGCAGATGATACCATGAAAAGAGGTCGAGTGCGGTCGACGTTTCCATGTTACATTTCCTATTAACAACAAGTGCTAAACGAAGTGACGGGAGCTGAGCACCAGGCAGAAAGCTGTTCTGATAAAGTCCAAGAACAGGACAGGGAAGAACACGAGGAAGACACACACAGGCCAGAAAGCGCCGTGCCCAAGTCTCTTCCCAACAGCGGCCCCTCTCTCACACCCTCATCTGCCTTGGCTCCCACTGACCCCAGAGACCTGGAACTCACAGCCACAGAATGAGGTGAAAAGGAACCTGTCAGGACGACACTTAGTAAGATGGAATAATGATCACCAGGCAGCGTCGGCCTGGTTGGATCATTTATTCCCAAAAGTGAACAAGATGCTAGACTTTTAAAAAGAGGGTAGTGAATGACACGGAACGTATGATACAATCATTACGGAAACGGACAGTCTCTCTGGCCAAGTGTCCTATTCTGTTTCATCACTGCGTGTGCACAGACACAGAGGGGCAGGGACAGAGTGAATGCCTCCAAGGTGGCCATGGCAGAGACGGGTGCTTTTAATTGGGGACAGAAACCAGGCTGCGGGGAGTGGGCTCTTGGGCCACCCTGTCTTCAGGATGGCCCGGGCGGGTCTGCCGTGGAAGCTGCTTGTCTGTTTGTCCATCCGCAGCTGCTGCTGTTACTCAAGGGCCTGGTTGGGGGCGGAGGGGGGGCGGGGTGCTTGTTTAACGGGGACCTTTATTTTTGACAGAGAAGAGGGAACGCAGGAGCCAAGGGCTCTGCTTGCGGCCGCGTGGGCGCAAACCTGAGCCCGGGTCGCGGCGCGGCTTCTGCAGAGGTGCGAGCCCAGCATGGCCCTAGCCCGACCCCCGGTGCCGGCCGGGTCGCCGAGCCTTCCCGTGTCTCCGCCCGTTTCTCCGAGGGGCGGCCTCTGGCAGGGCCGCCGGCCATCTGTCCCCGGACGAACATGTCCAAGTCTGCGCCTCGGACACTCGTCTCCCCTTGGGAAGAGTCGCGAGGGCCACCCTGGAGAAGGAGGGGCGGCTCCTCCCCGGGCACCCTTTCGAAGGGGACCCGGCGCGGGACCGAGTGGAGCCACCTGCGCGAGGGCCCGGCTCTGCCGCGCAGGTGGCCTGTCCCCCCCGGCGCCGCTCCCTGAACTTGGTCCCCGCGGGGCGCGGGCGCCTCCCAGACCCCCCGCCCCCCGCGGGGACGCACCTGGGGCGGCCTCGTCGCTCCGGTCGAACTCGAAGAGGAAATCGAAGTCGAACTCCTGCTCCTCCAGCCCCGTCATGTCGGGGTCGGTCCGGGCTCCGCGCGCCCGCGCTCGGCGGCGA